GACGGTTGCTGAGAGGGTTAAATAAAGTAATATATGAATACATAATAAGTGGTCTATAAAAGTTTGCTCTTATTTTCATTGTTGAAATCAATAAAGCACCATTTGATCTGAAAATCTTGTGGGTTGAAAAAATATCTTAAGAAAAACAAGTCCTCATGATAAGTACAGCTTTTTATTTTTCTTTAATTATGAAAGACTCTAAAGTCCAAACACAGCCTATTTATTGAGGCTGGTACACTTTGCCTCTTTAGCGACACCTGAATTTAAGCCTAAATAGATGTCACGGAATTCCATTGAGTGGGGCAGTTTGTTGTTGAGAACAGCAAGGACTTTGGAATAAATGCGAGTCCTGGTTCCCTCAATTTCCAACTTAAAAAAATTGAGGAGGTTTCTTAACTCTAATCCCCATTTCCTCGTTTGTAGAAAAGAAACCATATCATTAACCTGGATGGGTTTTTATAAAGATTTCAAATGAGATAATGTAATGGATCTCAATTAATGTGTTTCTTTTCCCCTCTCAGACCAAAACTTGTCATGAGGAATATTTGTCTAAGGTCAAGAGCTAAGAGTTAGCAATGCTGAACTATGGTCCTCACATATCAGTAAATCCATGATTTTTCTTCTTTCCTGTTATTTACTGCATTTAAATCATGAAAATCCTAGTAGTGGTGGGGTGGAGGGGGTGAACTTACTATAAAGTTCATTAAAGATTGAGTGCAGAAGGTTTCAATCTGTGACATAAAAAATGAAAGCTGTACATAAGGGAAGTAAGTGCGAAGAGGATTTTGTAGGGTGGATTGGAGCAGAAGAGGTTTTGAAATTGGGGAGATCACTTAGAAAGCTAATGCAGTAATCCGGATATGAAGGGATGAGGACCTGGACCATGTGGTAGTATCAGGACCAGAGGGAAGATTCAATAAGCTATGCTTTGAAAATATAACAGCATTTGGTCTAGGATTTTACCTGATATGGGTGATAAGACAGAGTTGAAACTATAGTTTTACATTTAGGTGGTCGTGGCAGAGATTGATGGCTATACATCAACATCCACATGAGCTCTTTGAGAAAAGAGATGATGTCTTTCATTTGGTTCCCCATGTAATCTAGCACATTGCTCAGTGCATGCAAAGTTGGTATTCAATAAATACTTGTGCTAAATCATCAAAAAAAAAAAAGATTGAGTGCAGAAATGAAGCACAGTGTTTGTGCCAGGGATCACCAACTCAAATATCTACAGGGATCATCCCTGTAATAGAAATAAGAGAAGCAACTTGGGCATAACAGTAGGAAAAGGTGAAGATGATGGCAAACTCTAAAGTGAGCATTGGCAACAACTTGGTTTACCAACTGTCTCCATGCAAGGATGCAAACCCAGTGATGTTAGAGCTTTTAGTTTTTGAAGAGAAGCCAGAAGTAGTTTGTGAAATTTTCTGAATTCTAAACATTAGCATCAAGTTCAATTAAAAACAAACACACCCTGTAGGCCAAATAAGAATCATTTGTGCCAAATTCAGTCTATGGACCATCAGGTTGCAACTTCTGATTTATAAATCATCATGATGATCACCACATGGCTGACCCTGGCAGAAGCTCAAAAGTGGTCATGAACGTGAACCACTTCTTCATTACCACCCATAACTGGTTTTGTTCTCCTTCACTTTGTGTTCAACAAACACCAACAAAATTAAGCTAAGGAGAACTTGGAAAGGACATTTCAGAGAAGTAAATTTGCCTGGACTAATGATCTCCAGGGAGAAATTTTACCCAAGATCTCTTCAAAGCTTTCTTCGACAAGTCCAGGTACCCTTGGTATCGAAAGATCTGTCTTCTGATGCAGGGCAAAAGACAAAAGAGACAGGCCAGCCTGGACTCAGGAGCTCCCCCTCCCTCATCATGGCCAGCTGACCTTGACAGGAAGAGAGGTAGAAAGTGCCTGGCTCTCAAGCCCACTGACATTTGGAAGCACAGGTGCAGCCCAGAGCCCTGGCAGGATTTGGCCAGGCGTTCCTGTGACAAGCCCAGGCCTGAAAGGGAGACTCCCCTGACAGTCTGAGCAGGAGGCTGAATCTGTCACTGTCTGGCTGGCAGGGCTGAAAGGGTTGTCTGCGGCAAGCGCAGATACCGGATGCCTGAATAGGGACTCAGTCAAGCAGGCATTTGTCACAGAAAACTCCCCCAACTCATATTTCACAGGGTGATCAGAAGCGGTGAGGCAGGGACCAAAGTGGCTCATCACCAGAATATTATCAATGGTGGTTATCACACAGGGACAGCTGGGCTGGAGGCCAGGGAAGCCCTCTTTGGAGACAGCAAATGTTCAATGCCCCCGGGATGGTGGGGATAGAGCCAGCCAGGCCCCACCCCACTACTTCCATACATCAATGCATGGTGCTCCAACACTACCACCTTGAGGCTCCAGAAGGAAGGAGCTCAGAGAGGCTATTCCACATTGGGAAGAAGGCACACAATTCCAGGTAATTCCAGCCTGGGAGCTGAGCCCTGCCTAGGTTCCTTTCAGACTCAGGTCCCTGGCCTTTTGTTTCAACAGCCTCTCCCAAGTCAAAGCAAGGCAAGCCCCTTGGGATTTATCCTTCTAAGGAAGAGGGTTTTATTTTTCTTTCATCATTGTTACTCTACAATGTGCTCTATAAGACTTGATTCTGTGCTCAATCAATGTGATTGAATGGAAAAAAAATCAAAGAGGCAGAGGAAATGCCATCAAATTTAGTTTTGTCTCAGGAGTTTCACAAAGAAATGAGTTATTTCCTCCTCTCTTTCTAATTATTTTAGCAAGGCAATCGAGGGTAGTGATTACTGCCAAGTGTCTCATCCATTAACTGAATGGCCCCTACAACCATGTTCCCCAGCCCACCCTGCATTGTAAGTGACTTACCTCCTTTGGGAAACTTGAGAACCAAGTTATAATAATAAGCAAAAGACAAAACTTTTTTCAGAACAACCATAGCTTTTTCAAATTCAAAAGCCAGATGATTTTGACATGACTAGCAGATTCATATAGTTGCAAATTGGGCAATAATTAGATAATTGCTAAAATACAAATATTCAGGTATGGTGACAGCAATAATATGAAGAATGACCACTAACATTTATTGGACACTTTGCATGTAATAAGCCTTCTTTGAAGCATTTGCATGGACATTACTGAGTACTCACAATAACCAATGTAATGGAAATAATATTAACCAGTAGTACAGGGGAGGAAACAAAGGTCCAAAGGCTTTATTAAATTGTCCAAGTCACACAGTTTGGAAAAGGCAGAATTGGGATTACAAGTGAAAAGTACCTTATACATCATTAGTACTAAAAATGTATGTTGATTAGAGCTGCTAAAGGGTGGTGGTGAAATAACTCAATTTAAGTAAGAACACCTTGACTTAGTCTTACTATGTAAACAACACCTACCAATTACTGAGAAAAAGATGACTACTCTAACAGAGAAATAAGCAAAAAATAGAAAATTCACATAAAATTTTGACAAGTGAACAAAAATTCATGTAAAATCTCACTAGTACTCACATAATTGAAAATTAAAATGACATGATATGCTATCTTTTACCTATCAAATTAACAAATATCTCTCAAAGTTATAACATCCAGCATAGGTGAGAGTGTACTATAGCCACCATTGGAAGAAGTGTTGATTTTTACATTTCTAGGAGCAACTTGATAATGTATGTCAAAATCCTGAAAGTGGTTTATATCCTCTATGGAAGTTTTAAAACATGGCTATAAATTCTTTGGTATTCTTCACATTCAGTAGTGGCGTCTATCCCTTCCTTATCCCTTCCTTATGAACTGAGGTGTGCTTGTAACTGCCTTGACCAATACAGTATGGCAAAAGTGATACCACAAGACCTCTAAGGTTAGTTAATACAGCCCATGAACCTCTGCCTCACACCAATGGACTCCTCACTCTTAGAGCCCTGAGCCATTGCCTAAGTACAATTATACAGAGGCCATATCTAGGAACAACAGTCAACAGTCCTACCTAAGCCCAGTCTTGGCGTCTTATCAGCTGGGGTCCCAGTGTCATGGAGCAGAGAACAACCATCCCTACTGTGTTCTTTCTGAATTCTTAACCCACAGTATCCATGGGCATAATAATGTGGTAGTTGTTTTAGGTCACTAAGTTTTGGGCCAGTTTGTTAAACAGCAATCAATAAGAGGAACAACCTCTTACACAGTAATTATTCTTCTGGAAATCTAAGGGAATAATTAGGGACATGCAAAAAGAATTATGAACAAAGATGTTGAGGGCATCATTGTTTAAGACGGAAAAATATAAAACATAAATATGAACAATAAGAATTTTTTTCATCCCCATGATGAAAAGCAGCAATTTAAAATCAGATTTTGGAAGACTATTTAAGATTATAAAAAGTCCTCATAACATATTGTTTAAAGGGGGGTTTTACAATAACATAGATAGCAGAAGTTTTCTTTAGAGAAAAAAATGGACATATACCTATGCATTAAAATTATATAAAAACACTCCAAAATTTAAGCAGTAGCTATTTCTGAGTTGTGATATTATAGATGATTTTGATTTTATTCTTTATGATTTTCTGTACTTCTAATATTTCATAAAGTTCACAAAGGGAGTAGACAATTTGCTAATGACCTCATTAAATCTGTATGAATTTTAATACATTTTCAGAAGACCTGAATTCAAATTCCAACAAGTTCTATTTCAATGTCTTTGGAAAAACACATTATCTGCCTAAACTTTAATTTCCTCATCTAGAAAACCAAAATAACAATATTTACCTCAAATGATTTTTGGGGGGTTTTAGGATAGATAGGCCACTTTTAATTTTTCCTAACTAGATATCAGAGAAAAATCTATATGCTTAAAAAATCTTCTTTATAATTTGATACATAATAGATGTATACATTTTTGAGTACTTATGGGATACATGTGATTTTTCTTAAGAGACAAAGTCTTACTCCATCACCCAGGCTGGAGTGCAGTGGTCCAATCATAGCTGACTGCAGCCTGGAACTCCCAGGCTTAAGGGATCATCCCATTTCAGTCTCCTTAGTCATTAGGCTTATAGGCATGAGGCACCATGCCCAGCTGATACTTTGATACATGCAAACCATATGTAATGACCCAGTCAGGGTAATCCCCTCAAATGATTTTTATGAGGTTAAACGAAACAGAAACTATGCAAGTTCCTGGAATTCATCTATGTACCTAGTGGGCATTTAATAAGTGCCTTTTTAATTCACTGATAAGTATTTTGTCCAACATTTCAAACACAGTCAGAATGAGCATTTGAAATAAATATCTACAGCTCTCAAGTGAACAAAAAAACACTAGGGCTTGGCTTCCTATCTCACTGCTCATCCAAAACAAGTAGGATTTGGTAAAAGCTGCAAAACACTCTACCTCTCCTTGTCACACATTGACACTGAGGACAGACAGCAAGCCTTCCTGCTATGACAAGTAGATAGAAAACAAAAACTTGGGGTAAAATGAACAGGTTGGTCAATTACTAATTTTGCTCTCTGCATGTGGAAGCCATTTCTGCTATTTTATCTGCTCCCACCATGACTGATGAAAGTTTTAGAACAAAAGCCTTCCAATGAGCTGTGAAGAGCTACCCCTTTTGTCTTTCCGGTATATCTTCTCCTTTTTATCATCCCTCCTTCCCATTCCCATGCCACATGCCAATTATTGATAATAGTTAATAATAACAGGAGCTAATACCTGTTGAGAACTGCTCTGCACCAGGCACTGTTCTCAGCACTCTGTTTGTATTAACTCACTTATCTTCAGCATAATGCTACCATGCAGGTACTATTATCATCTCTGTTTCTTCTATGAGGAATCTGAAACACAGAAGAGTTAAACGACTTTCCCAAGGTTACACAGCTAGAAAGCAAGGAGACAAGTCTAGTCAGTCAAGCTCCAGGGCACATAGTCTCTAACTCTTATCTATACTGCTCTGTGTAATTAATATAATGACTTGATCCACTATACAAAACTTGGCACGAGGAGATGAGCAACAGATAACCTTTCACTAATCTTATTAGCAGGACGAAGCTCAATCCTACAGCCTAACTCAAGGACTGCTCCTTCAGTAACGGTATTATAAATAGAGGAAAGGAACAATTGCTCTTCCACAGTGACCCCTGGGTTGCCCTCCCTCATGACACTATCTTTGGTAGGATCCAAAGCTCCTTGGATATGTTCTATTAATACCTGTGCCCTGTGTTTGGTGCACCATCTAGCCCATCTTAGGGCTTAATAAGGATTTGTTTAGTTGAACTGAAGAGGGCCTACCCAAATAGGCAGTTTCTACCTAATTCTAGTCTCCCAAGAATTTCTCTTCAGAAGAAACACACACACACACAACACACACACTCACAATGATGAATTGTGAAAAATAAATGCTATTCCATCTAGCGTGAAGTGGTCTGGGTGTGGAGTTAATGCCTTAGGAAACGCTAACATCTAATCTTTAGGAATGAGTGGAGATTGATAAATGACATCCCTAATCCCTACCTAGGCTTTGAATCAATTAAGGAATAACACAAGAATAAGACAGGTGGAATTCAAAATACAGTATCACCATTTTACTGATTAAGCTGATATTGGAGAATGTGATTTATATTTGTGAGTCAATGAGTTTTACATACCTGAACTTCACTCTTCAACAGATGCATATACACAGTTCTAGGAAGTGCTTCCCTCTGGTTGGAGAACTCAGGCTCTCTATAGGCAGGTCTGTGCCTAAAAAGAAAAGACAGATTGGAAGCCCATGCCCATTATCTCTTTCCAAACATTCCAATGAAACTAAGTTACTCTTCCTCCCCTGTGGAAGAGTAAATGAAAAGATAGTAAAGGCCATAGAATTTTGGCCCTCTCCCTGCTAGTACTCTTGGGTGAATGAGAACCAGAAAGTCATGAAGAGAAGGCTTTGGTATGACTGATAACAGCTAGTAAATTTCATCATTGAGTTGTCCACTTGGCTATCACAAATGATCTACATTCCTATTGCTCACTTACCTGTAGAATGTATATAGTTGCATTTAATATCAATAATTTAAAATGTTCAGTTTTAAGTTTGTGCTGCAAAGCCAGAACTAAGTATTCCATCAAGTTCAACTCTACTTCTTTTCATGTCATACAGCCCTGACCCAGTCTTAAGCTCCTTGAAAATACAGCTCCTTTTACTTCATGGCATTCCTTAGAATACAATGCATATGATAATTTGTTTACAAATGTTTTTTCATCAATGTATGCATGAAGAAAAAATAATAAACAAAAAATAAATCTCATTGGCTCTTCAACATGTAGTTCAAGGAGGAAGAAAATAGAGGAAGCCGCAACTTACAAATAGACTGTGTTCAACTTACTCATTGATATGTCAATTTGGGGAGACAAGAAAAGATTTTCCTATGAAAGGTCTGAAAGGTAGATCTTTTGATACAAAAGCACACACACACACACACACACACTCACAAAACACTAAAGTAGAATTTATCTAAGGTTCAGATAATAGCTCAGTGCATAAAGAATACTCTGAGCATTTCATTTTTGGACCTAATATAGGACACTAAATGTAAAGAATCAAGCCTTGGCGAGTGGATATGGGGAATAGCAGGGGAGGGGCAGTGTGCTGCGAGCCTGGAGACTGGAAGAGCAGTCCAGGGTTTTCACTTCTCCTCCTTCCTTCCACCCTTGCTACTTAGGTCAGCTTCCTGCTCCAAATCATGCCCAAGCCAATCACTAGAGGTCAGCAGGAAGCCAGAGAAGGGGGCGACTGGTGGGAGGAGAGTTCCCTCAAAAGAAAGAGAAGAAGGAAAGGGGAAGAACACACTGTTGCCCAGCAATGGGAAGGAGAGTTCCTGCAGCCGGGCTTGGCTAGGGAGGCCTTTCTTATGTGAGATGCATTCACTGAGCAAACAAGGCTGAGGTAAACCTTTTTGAATTGATCTGAATTCTAGCATGTTAAGATATTTAAGGTAGTGACTAAAAACAGACTGGAGTGAGTCAGATCTCAGTTTCAAGGCCTCTACTTACCGCCTATGAGACCTGGGCAAATAATTTCACCTGTGCTTGGTACACAGCGATCACTAAATATTTACTCCATGCCAGGTATAGCTCTAAGTACTTTACATGTATCATCTCATTTAGTTCTCAATAAAATATGTTTCAGAAACTAAGGCCCAGAGAAGCTAAATGTGGATGCTTACGCAGCCAAATCCCCCTTCTCTGAAAAACCTGCTGCCCCAGCAGCAGATGGAAACACAGCTGATGGACAGCCTTTGGTTTCCTACCCTCCAGAATACTTCAGCTGCAAAGTGCCCTTGTTCACAGTCACACCCCTTTCCACAGTGACCCAATTCCAGTGACTGATCAGTATCGGGGTAATTTCACTCAACTTGGAATAATTCTGAAGGGCCATTCTAGCTCCAGAGCCCCACTGCATGGTGACTCGACTAGTCCTTTACCCAATCTTACTTTGTCCTCTCCTTCCCTTAGGTATTGGACCAAAGACATTCCCAAATGAATTACCTGCAAACTAAACTCATCTCAGAGTCTGCTTTCTGGAAAATCCACCCTGGGACACCAACTAACTTGCCCAAGGACCCATAGTGAGGATACAGACACAAGCAGAATGACATCAGAACCTCCTCTCCCAACTGCTATACTCAGCTGCCTCCCATGGTTAACCATTACTACTTCCTTACTCTAAGACACCTACCACAACCTATATACATCCTCTCTTACTTAGGTCTGGCTTTTCACTGGGAAGACAGCTCAAATAAAGATTTTGCCTCCAAACTGCCATACAGAATTTTAAGTAAACAAGACAAAGCCATCTGCCTTCTGCCTGTAAGGAATAGATCTTATATTAATAGAATCTCTCCTAACTCCATCTCTCTCTTCTTTTTCAAAGTATTGTCAGTGGCATGCCAAGGCAATGGTACAGCAACAGGTTAAGATTTCCTGAGGCCCAGAACTGAAAATTAGAAGAAGAGAAACTCAGGAAGTCTGCAGAGCAAGCTCCCCTCTTTGGCTCTCCCAGCTGAAAACTATGCCTTTTTTTTTTTTTTTTTTTTTTTTTTTTTAAGTGAGAGGTTGTCCACCCAACCTATTATTTCAAAAACAAGCTACTTTCCTAAAAGATTATTTTCTACAATGCACAGGCTAAAACATTTTCCGAATTAGTATTTTCTTTCACTCTGTTAGTATTCTCATTTTAAATAGTGAGCCCAGTTTCCACAATATAGAAGACCAAAATTGTCTAATGTTGATTTAAACAACTATGCTTTCCCAATATTCCCAATACCTTGGTTTGCCTGTTTCTGCTGGAAGCTTATAGCCACCTCTTCTACTATAACAGTATTTTATTTACAAACATGCCACACTGCCTAAAATTAACCTAATTAGCAATCTAGAGCACCTGATTCTCAGAGCATTTTCCGACCCTCTAGCCTTCCAGCTGCACTGCTCTTAGTTGTTAACGTAAAGCTATATCCAAAAAACTTTGAAAGTATAAATGGAAACTGGTCTTGACCACAGAAAAAACAGTCACATTCGCTCCATTTTCTGGCATGTGACTTAAAAAAAAAAAAAAAAAAAAGTTTTGCCTCTCATTAAAGAGTATACAGTTCCAAGTTCCATGGCTGCCAAGAGCCCCTGGATAATCCAGCATGTCACCTTTCATGCCATTTCCTGGTGTGCTGGTAATCAGGATGGAGACTACTGCAAACCCCATCCTAGATCTGCTGCTGCTTTGTGGAGTAATGGTTTTCGGTCATCATACGTTGCATGTTCACCTTGCCTCTGATTGTTCTGGTCATGTCAGTGATGTAGCTTTGATGCAGAGATTGCATTGGAGTAAAGAGGGAAAAGTAGCAAAAATGAGGGAGAAGGATTAGCAGCTCAAAAGCTTTGAAAATCTTTATTTCATTGAAATGAAATCATGCCTTATCTACCTTCCTTAGACATTGCTGATCACATTAATTCCAGATGAAAAGTAAGTCAGGGGGTGTCTTTTTTTTTTTTTTTTCTTCATGCTGGTGAAGTTTTTCTACAGGAAGTCTGTAAAGGAAAACTCTCTCTCCTAGTGCTCCTAGGCAAAGCATTGAAGTACAATCCCACTGAAATCAAAGTGACAGCTAGAAGGCATTCCTAATCATCAGCTCTCTGAGTTCTTTCAAGACTTGAATACAACTGTCAATTACCAAGTTCTCTTTGTAGGCCAGGCAAGTAACAATGAATTAGAGGTTTAAATCAAACTTACCAAAAAGACATAGCTACCTTTTCACGTCTGATTGCAGTATCAAATGGCAGACCCAAGAACCAATGGTAAACTAAGACATTAGGAAAACATCATCAAAGCAACTGTAAAAGAAATTATTAAAATGTATTTAATGCAAGATCAACTGGCCACAGTTGCCATATTTTTCCAAACCAAAAATGAGCATGTATCCAATACATAGTCTAACCATAACTCTTCAGTGAATAACTGTTGAATACTAGGCACCACTCTCAACACTGCCCATGCAAGTCCAAATCCAATGGGGTGGTCAAATAATGAAGTAGTAAACAAAACAAGTAAAGTCCCTGCTTTATGGAGGTTACATTCTAATAACAAATAGATATACAACACAATATTCCATAATAAGTGCTATGAGAAAAATGATTATCATGGTCACATCTCTTTCATGCCCTTCACATTGAAATCACATCTGAATCATTGGAAAACAGTGTAAAGGGCTAAGAATTGAACAAAAAAATGCTAAGAATTAAGAAATTCCACCGTTCCTTTGGAAGGAGGGGTTAGGGGGAGCTAAAAGGACTTATTCTCTATGTAGTCATCTCTCACATCACTGATTGAACGAGGGAGCTGCCTACACACCCAGTCCAGGATCCTTCAATGCCAAATCACATCTAAATCATTATAGACTAGAGAATCTATTCCACTTTTAATGTTTTACATGATGTATTAGTCATTTTCGCACTGCTGATAAACATATTGCAATTTACTTCAGACAGGGCAATTTACAAAAGAAAGAGTTTTTATAGTTCCATGTGGCTGGGGAAGCCTCACAATCATGGTGGAAGGCAAGGAGGAGCAAGTCCGTCTTACATGGATGGCAGCAGGCAAAGACTGAATGAGAAAGACACAAAAGCAGAAACCACTGATAAAACCATCAGATCTCATGAGACTTATTCACTACCACGAGAACAGTGTGGGAAAAACATCCCCCATGATTCAATTATCTCCCACTGGGTCCCTCCTACAACACATGAGAATTATGGGAGTACAATTCAAGATGAAATGTGGGTGGGGACACAGCCAAACCATATTATTCTGCCCCGGCCCCTGCCAAATCTCATGTTCTCATGTTTCAAAACCAATCATGCCTTCCCGACAGTCCCCCAAAGTCTTAACTCATTTCAGCATTAACTCAAAAGTCTCATCTGAGACAAAGCAAGTCCCTTCCACCTATAGGCCTATAAAATCAAAAGCAAGCTAGTTATTTACTAGATACAATGAGGGTACAGATATTGGATAAATACAACTATTCCAAATGGGAGAAATTGGCCAAAACAGAGGTACTACAGGGCCCACGCAAGTCCAAATCCAATGGGGCAGTCAAATCTTAAAGCTCTGAAATGATTTCCTTTGACTCCATGTCTCACATCCAGGTCACGCTGATGCAAAAGTTGGGCTCCCATGGTCTTGGCAGCTCCACCCCTGTGGCTTTGCATGGTGCAGCCTCCCTTCCAGCTGCTTTCATGGGCTGGCATTCAGTGTCTGAGGCTTTTCCAGGTGCAAGGTGCAAGCTGTCCGTGGATTTACCACTCCTGGGTCTGAAGGACAGCGGCCCCCTTCCCACAGTTCCAATAGGTGGTGCCCCAGTAGGGACTCTGCATGGGGGATCTGACCCCACATTTCCCTTCTGCACTGCCCTAGCAGAGGTTCTCCATAAGAGCCCTGCCCCTGCAGCAAACTTCTGCCTGGGTATCCAGGCATTTCCAAACATCTTCTGAAATCTAGGCAGAGGCTCCCAAACCTCAGTTCTTGACTTCTGTGCACCCACAGACTCAATACCACATGGAAGCTGCCAAGGCTCATGTCTTGAACCATCTGAAGCCATGCCCTGAGCTCTACATTGGCCCCTTTCAGCCAAGGCTGGAGCAGCTGGGATGCAGGGCACCAACTCCCTAGGCTGCACACAACTTGGGGATGCTGGGCCAGGCCCATGGAACTACCTTGTCCTCCTAAGCCTCCAAGCCTGTGATGAGAGGGGCTACCGTGAAGACCTCTGACATGCCCTGGAGACATTTTCCCCATTGTCTTGGGGATTAACATTTGGGTCCTCATTACTTATGCAAATTTCTGCAGCACACTTGGCTTCAATTTTTCCTGAGAAAATGGGATTTTCTTTTCTATCACATTGTCAGGCTGCAGATTTTTCACACTTTTATGCTCTGTTTCCCTTTTAAAACTGAATGCTTTTTAACAGCACCCAAGTCACCTCTCAAATATGTTGCTGCTTAGAAATGTCTTCTGCAAGATACCCTAAATCATCTATCTCAAGTTCAAGTTCCACCTATCTCTAGGGCAGAGGCAAAATGTCATCAGTCTCTTTGCTAAAACGTAACAAAAGTCGCCTTTACTCCAGTTCCCAACAAGTTCCTCATCTCCATTTGAGACCATCTCAGCCTGGACCTTATTGTCCATACGGCTTCAGCATTTTGGGCAAAGCCATTCAACAAGTCTCTAGGAAGTTCCAAACTTTCCCACGTTTTCCTGTCTTCTTCTGATCCCTCTAAACTGTTCCAACCTCTTCCTGTTACCTAGTTCTAAAGTCACTTCCACATTTTTGGGTGTCTTTTCAGCAATACCCCACTCTCAGTACCAATTTACTGTATTAGTCCACTTTCACATTACTGATAAAGACATACCCTAGACTGGACAATTTTAAATTAGACTTTTAGTTCCATGTGGCTGGGGAAGCCTAACCATCATGGCAGAAGGCAAGGAGGAGCAAGTCCCATCTTACATGGATGGCAGCAGGCAAAGAAAGAATGAGAAAGATGCAAAAGCGGAAACCCCTGATAAAACCATCAGATCTTGTGAGACTTACTCACTACCATGAGAACAGTATGGGGTAATTTCTCCCATGATTCAATTATCTCCCACTGTGTTCCTCCAACAACACATGGGAATTATGGGAGTACAATTCAAGATGAGATTTGGGTGGGGATACAGAGTCAGAACATACCACCTGACATTACAAAGAGATTGGAACCCATTAGACAACAACAACAACAACAACAACAACAACAAAAACCCTTAATGAAATTATTTGGGCCCATCGAATGAATTGGAAACCAGAGAGAATAATGAGAAGATTATTAAACAAGGAGAAAGAGAGCTCAGTCTTTTCCTCCCAAACTTTCAAAGCCAACAGTTATTTCTGTCATTGAAATAAAATGAGAAAAGAGTCACATGACTTTTAGAATGAGATCTTACTAAATAAAACATCATTGCTAAATATGGTCTTCAGGCAGCTAGAAGGAGGCAATAGGCAGGTATTCATATTTTTGCCACCTTAACACGTGATACTACTTGTCTGAATCCTCTTTTTAATGTTCTCTCTCCTCCTTTCCTCTTGGCTGCTGTGGCTTGCACTCAAAGTAGAAGTAGGGTTAGCAGGCTGGAATACTGTCTTATTTAAATAGTTTAGTTACTGGAGATAATGAGCATGAAAAAAATGATTTTTTTCTCTCTTTCTGTATATACATTTTCCAAGGATCTTTATCCATTCTTATGGTTTTATCCATCATCAATGTCTAGCTCCAGATATCTGCTTCCAAGTACATTTGAAGATGCCATACTAGTATATGAAACTCAACAGGGCCAGTACTGGGTTAATGTTGCTGGCTATGCCCTGCATTCTGCTCTCTTCATGCATCCTGTATCTCCATGAAGGACACCATTGTCATGTCTAAAACCACCCACCACCTAAAAAAAACTACAACATACAAACATGTACTAATCTACTATATAATAATACTTGAAAACCACAAAAAAATGCTACTGGAAGAAATTTTAAAAGACAAAAGTAAATTGAAAGACATCTCACTTTCTTAAATTGGAAGACTTAATATTGTTAAAATATCCATACTATCCAAAGCAATCTACAGAGTCACTGCAATCTATGTCAAGGATGGTAGCCATAAAAAGATGAGAAGAGGGACAAATGGAAGGCCACATTATTAGAAAAGAACTTTGAAAAAAACCTAAAAGTCTTGGGACTTGATTGGATTACAGGAAATGAACAGGAGTGAAAAATGGCCACTGGACTTGATATGCAAGACTTTCTGGTCCTTTTTTCTAAATATCTGAGTTTGGGAAAGGTTGAAGTGTGGGAAGGGATTAACGGAGCATATCTCTACATCTACTTCCACACATCTGTCCCTGTTTAAATTCATCCTCTTTAGCCATGCTATTTTTCTCTCTCATTAAAAATGACTTTGATTTCTGTTATCTTTCTCAACTCAGACAAACTGAAAACATAAAAATCAACTCTCTGTTCTAAGTGATTTATAAATATATTGAAATTTTTTATTCTCAGAATTGATGTGTTTAACATATACTTCCCTTCTCCCTGCTCCTTAAACTGGAACCAATCCACATCAGTAACCATCCAACGAATTGTTCAATATTCAAGACTGCATCTTCTCCACATACTAAGAAGAATGCCATAAAATAGAATATGGTCTTATGAGAAAATATACACCTCAGAATAATAAGGAACATACAGAGAGAACAAACTCCTCTTACCCCAATGGGGAAAGACATATAAGATTGCATTGTGCTTCCAACAGACAAACTAGCAAGGCCTGTGCAAGTGATTTTACATAAATAAGAAGGAGCTCTGCAAGCATTTCCCATATATGCATTGAGCAATACGCCCCAAAGCAACCCTAACCAGGAAGAAAAAGTAGGAGGCTGTAACTAAGTGGAACTTGAGTCTCTGCTTTCATGTAGTTTATTTCTTGTAAGTGACCTCTGCCACTTTGGCTTTATGTGTGGGCACTCATCCTTTACAAGCAAATACAATTGTGAGGCATTTTCCTCTGTGTATAGTTAGATAATGAATTCTTCCTGTTGCAAAGTGACCTCAAGAGCCCAAAACCTCATTTCATTTCAATTTGTGCCAATGAAACGCTTGACAAATTGCTCTTTTTAGAGTCATGTGTAAGTTTGGGTTGTGGGCCTAAGCATTGTTGCTCTTCTGACAAGGAAAAATCGGGCTGTAATATTTGCTCCCTATTCTTTGCAGTGCCAGTGACTACAGGAAAGGCTGGGTAGTATTAGCATTGAGTATTTCTCCCCAATTCATTCATTTTGAGGACAATTACTGAAAAATCACAAAGTACTGAAGAGATGAAATCAGCAAATGGAGAATAAATCTTACATTTAAATATATAAGCACACAAAGATGTATACCCAGGAAAAATATTGTTTCAAGAGTATTCTTGGAATATTATCTCTTCCTTATTCTCCAATACAGATAACTTCGTATTTCTAGTCAGAGTTTTGGTTATGTGAGAGATCTAAAGAGAACAATTTTCTACTTGTGCTCTTGGCAAATGCTGAAGCTCTCCTGCTGGAATTCTGTCATCTTTTTTCTGAACTCAGATGATAAACCAAATTTGCACATTGTTGATCTAAAGCCCAAGTCTTTAACCTGAGCATAATGAAATCACATTAGGAGACACGCCTGTCCAAACACCACAGTAACGGTGCCAGTGCTGCTTGGAATAGCTGCCATTTGGTCATCTCTTCTCAGCCCCAAATTATGTGAGTGTCACCTGTTCCCATTTCAAATTATCCTATGATTGCCTTTTATATTATAGGGTTATATCAGCCATATCAACTATACCAACTGGCACCCAGACATCAGGAATATGGAAATGGCTATCCCTCTTTGCTCACCTTATATGCTCTGATCAATTCTTATAGAACTGTCTAAGGAAATATAAGTTTGCCTTAAACCCAGAAATTGACTAAAAGGGTCCTCT